TATCAAATACATTTCTTCGCGACAAACTAATAACCTAAACTGAGGTCCTTTATCTATATTTTCAGTTCCAGGCTGAGTCATTTCTACCTTCTCCTCTCTGTCAACGCTCTCTGGTTTCATTTAAAAGAGTCGATCATCAGATATTGTCCAAGATTAACCTTCAGGGTGGATATAGCTCGCTAGCAGCCTCGCACCGATGACCTAGTTGATGTCATCATTTACCCAGAATGCTTTGCGTGTAAATAAAATGGCTCTGTCCGTGTTAAAATATAATTAAGAAAATTTACAAAACTAAACAGCCTACAGTATTTTTACAGTCTTTATTTTACAGTTAAAATTAATGTTTATCAAATAAAGTTTAATGTTACAACTAATCGTGGATCCCTTTTAGGTTGTCTGGATTAAATCAAATTAGATTAAAAATACAGACAGTTATTACCACTTGTAATTTAAAATTTATATCTGTAAAGTTGTCTGAATTATAGACAGCTTCCTAATGCCAGCTGACCATCTTTAATTGGGTTAATCAGTCCACTGGTTCCTGAGATATTTTGCTAACACAATAGACTAACATGCTGAAGTTTTTTTCAGACACTGTCGTCTTCTACAAAGTTTGAAATAAAATTAAAAAAAAATAAGCTGATGACCTGTAGACTCTGGTGTCGTGCTCGTAGGTGTCTGAGCCACTCTGGTTCCAGCAGAGATCCACTGAACCCAGTTTCACTGTACTGAGCCTCCGAGCACCTCAGCCTGTCTGACAGCTGCACGAAAAAACACACATTCAACATTTTTAACAGAACACATCAATACGAGCGCTCGGGTGCTCATACCAACCTTAACCACCTCCCCTGTCAGAACAAAGTCTGGCTCCGTCTGCCTGAGGAGGGCCCGTCCCACCACCTCACAGTAATGAAAGGCCTGGGAGGAGAGCCCACAGTCCAACAACCGACAGGCGTACAACAATTTGTACACCTGCCCACACCAGGAAACAATTCAGAATGACTGGAGGATAATAAATTCATCGGCTGCTACGGTTTTTATCTCATCATGTGTGGAATACCTGAAAGGACGGTAAAGTAACACATTTACCACCAAGTGTCAGACAGTACTCGTATAACTCTGTGCACTGGATGGCAGAGATCGTGGCAAAGTGTCCAAACGGCTGCCTGCAGGAGAAAACACAACAGCTTATATTTATGTATGAGTATTTTTTTTTTTATAATAATAAGACTGGACACAACCTGTACATTACTTTATTAAAATCAGCCACAGTTTGAGAGACAGGAAGACATTTAGTGAATAATAACTGTGACCTTCTTCAGAGCTCAGACTGTAAACCTTTAATTTGTCTGTAAGTTTGCTAAAAAAAAACAACAAAAACCCAAAATCACAGGGACAAGAGTATTATAATAATAGTAATAATAATAACAACAACAACAACAACAACAACAACAACAACAACAACAACAACAACAACAACAACAACAGGTTTGGGTTGCCAACTGTCCCATATTTTCAGTCAAACTGAAGTGTCCTGTATGAGACGCTCTTTCTGACTGCAGCTTGTAATTTGTGTTCACACACACTAGATGGAACACCTCTCCTAACTTAAGGCCCTGTCCCACTGTGATGTTTTAGACAACTTATAAATATTTTAAAGACATTTACGTTGAAGATGGAATTGAAAGAATCAACTGGAAGCTTCTTTCAGGCGTCTACATACTGTAACCAAGGCCGGATTAACCATATGGGCAATTGGACAATTGCCCAGGGGCCCACGGTCTCCAAAGGGCCCTGGGCAGTGAAGGCACGGACACAGCGGATGCGGGATATGCGTGGGACATGCCTCCTCGCACTTCCTGCATCTGTGCTCTGTCCCCGCACTTTTCTCAGCCGTAACAGCTGTTTTATCCATTATTAACATATGGTAATGCATTTTCCTGAGCCGTCTTTGAACGCACCATAAGCGTGCGCAAGCTAGTCCTGCAGATGAGATGACTGATAGGAGCTGCTGTGCTGAGCAGAGCCTCCTGGTGTAAAGAGCAACTAAAACTTGGCACAGTTTTTACCAAACAAACCATGTAAGTTGAGTCATGCTGTTGGAGGCAGATAATGTTAGCTAAATGATGAGTTACATATTATATCTTTAGCTAATTAACAAGATTAGTTATTGTCACTTGTTACATCCCTTGCCAAGCTAGTTTATTAATGCTAGATAAACCCAATCGTCTTTTATTTCTGTGCAGAAGTCATGCTGGCTGCTTTCCACATATTTAAAATAAATCTTCATTACCACAGTTACAAAGAACAAGGTCAGGGAGGAGACAGACCAGATAGCCTACAGCAGCAGGGATCATAATGCAGACTTTCCTCAGGTAAGGAGAAATTATGTGTTAAGGGTGGAGGTCTGAGCTCTGAGTAATTACCGAACACTGAGAAAGGTTTAACAGATTTATTG